ACTTGTATTGAAATTAGCATAGAACCATGGAATTTTAAACTAGGAAGGGACTTTAGGAATCTGTTCTTGCTCAAACTAAAAGGGTCTGGAAATGCTATTTTTTTTTTTTTATCTGTGCATGTCTTCAGATACTCATAAATTTCATCAGATTCTTAAACTGACTGACAAAAAAAGTATTGAAAACTACATTTATGGAAGAAAAAATTAATGCCTTGAAAACTGAAACCTTTATCAAAATCACACAAAATTTTAGTGGGAGCAATTTATATAATGAAATATACTTCATTCTGAAGTCCATAAAATCAAAACAGACGTATTATGACTTCATTTACTGCTCAAGTCATTTATCTGGCTCAGTTGGTCTGTTGCATGACTGTACTTGGCTATTTAGGTACTTTGGCAAAGCTTTAATTTTTTTATGAGAGAAATTTAAAGGGTACGGGGAAATGGACATCATCTTTACAGGTAAAAACAAAGAAAAAACTATTTAAAAGTTGATCAAATTAGATGCTGAGAGGGAAGATATATTAGCATTTTGCATTGCACCAACCCCATGCTAATATGATCAATTCAGACCTCAGAAGAAATGGAATGTGTCCACTATTTTTCTGTTTTTCTATTTCAGAAGTGAAATGAATAGACATCTTGATAGGGCCCAGCTGCTATTTCCATTGACTTAATGAGTTTCTCGATGCACCCCATTGTGCCTCAGTATTAGAGAAACATATGGTGCATTTACCTCTTAACTATGGATTTATTTGACTTTTTATTGTGTGTTTTCCACCTGGGATTCTATAGTTTCTTTAACAAAGCATACAGTATATATATGTATAGATGATTATATAATATATGCTCTTATTTGGATATATGAACAAAATTGCCTTTTCTTCTTAAATGTTAATAACTTCTAGAAGGAAAAAAAGTAACAATAAAACCCTCCATCATTTTAAAGCAATTGTGCATGTGAAGACTTTTTGGAAAAGTAATGTGAATATAGAAGAAGGTGCAACAAAAAAGCTTTATCATTAGTAACTTAATCTACTAGGCAAGATTTCATGAAATGATTGCATCAATGGCCTACAAATGCCTAAAAACGTAGGCATTCTTGTAACGATATTGGGTCAGTAAGAGATGTCTTCAGAACAGAAATGCAATAAATCAGGGATTCAGAATAAAAAAGGGAGAAGAACATCAATAAATAGGTAGGCTTCTTTATTATTTATTTTGTGGTAACGATTTT